GACCCTCTACTCTTTAGTCCATATGTGCCACATATCTGTATGTGGCCATGGGCCCACCCTCCGCTGGAGCCTCCACTGAAGATCCACGCTGCATTTCTCTGTGGGATGTTGGGATGTTTGTACAAGAACCTGGTGTCACAGAGTCTCTTGGTTTTGTTGAGAACTTTCATGCTTACAGGATGTAAGGATTTGTTCTCTCTGGTGTTCTAAAAGACAGAATTATTTCTCCTCCTGTGGAAAATCAGTGCAAACTACCAGGACCTACAGCTGATGCTAACAGAAGCCAGGAAGAGCAGCCCCCACGTGCTCCACCAGCATGACACCCATCGACCTGAGGATGGCAGCAGATTTCTGCCCTCCCAGTCACACCCCTGTCAGCTTTGTCAGGCCAGACGTTGCTAATACTGCTCAAGCTAGTAGAACCAAGCAGTTTTAGTCCATGATTGTGGATTGTGGAGCTCAACATCATCAGAAGAAGTTGTAAAATTAAAAAGAGAAGAAAACTCCATCAGTCATCAATAAAGCTCCTGATGCAGACTTGGGGAAAAGACGCTGAGCTGCAACATACATTCAAAGAGACCAACTTATGGTCAATGAAAACAACTTCGATTGTGTCCAAATGGTGAAGGGAAACTCCATAAGTGACGGCCAATTTAATAGCAGAAGTTATGAAGTTAAGAAGTTAAGATCCGAGGTGCACAGAGAAATGAGCAGTCTGTGGGACTGTGAGACTGACGCTGCCATGTCTCAGGCTTCTCTGCACAGAACAACTCATTTAAGACTTGTTGGCAGTTTAGTGTTGAGGCCCACAGGGACGGTGGAGATGGGCCTGGAGTCCCGACTTTGGGGTAAGCTGCACAGCAAATCCTACCATGATGAGGTGTGGCTTTCCACGCTTTCACATGACTGCCCAAGGTGGCAAACACAGGTGGGCATGGAGATCAATCCAGCCCCACAAGTCTCAGGCGAATCTGACCGGCAGCAGAGCAGGAGTGAAGCTCCCAAAGATCCACTTCCTGTCTCAGAGGCTGACAAAGCAGCGCAAGAAAACCGGCTCTCTTCCCGCACTTCCACCGATGAGGCCTCCGAATCAAAAACGAGATGATCGGCAAGAGGGGAAGTAGCACCCGGAAGTATACCGGGAGCTGCGCTCCAGCGCCGTTGGAAAAACAACCTCAATACGTTGACAGAAAATTATCCATAGCAGATTTAATCACCAATAATGCACAGCGGTCAAACATCCAAAGGGAGATGATGCCGGACACTGTAGCAAAAGCACTTGCACAACACAGAAACACACAAACAAAGGTGAGAGATAAAAGCGTCTCAACCACTCCCAGCATGCATTGCAGGGAGCAGAGGACAGATTCCTATAACTGGAACTCACTTATATGAAATAAACACAGTTTGTTCCACCTTTGAATATTTGTCTCACCAAAGACTTGTGGTCGGTCCTCAGTCGGTCTCGCAGGTTCTTCAGAGTGTTCCTGAAGCCTCTCGACTTTTGTTTCTCTGGTTTGCTTGAAGGCTGAGGATCCTTGTGAATCTGAACACTTCCTCTCTTCAGCAGAAAACAGACGGGAAATCTGAGCAC